AACTTTTTCAAAACCTAACTCTCATGCCATTAGAAAGAGGATCATGAAAAACCTATAAAAAAATGGTTCATGAAATTTTAGTTCACTCATAAAGCTAAAGTCCGCCTGCTCTAGCAAAAAATGCCCATTGTGAGAGACTTGGAAGTTTATGTATTAAAGCCGCTAGCAATTGAAATAAATTAACTTCAAGTAAACTCTTTTCTAAGGCGTGTAATTCCTCACCACTTCTTCATTTTGTTATTCAACACAGACAGTCATAGAGATGAAGATACAAATGACAAACAGAAAATAAATGAATTTAAAATAAAGAAAATACAGGCTGGAATAAAAATCAAGGTAAAAAATTAACGAACATGATTATAACAATGTGATGATAATAAGTGGTAAAAAGAAACAAATTTCTTTTAGATGACGCACTCATGCGTCATGGACAATTCATGTGTTCTGTGTTAGGTATATGGGTGCAAGAAATAAAAGAAAAAAATGCATTTCTTTTTTCATCTTTTTTCTTTCTCGTTGTTGTCATGCAAAGAAAGAGAACGAACGTACAATAACCGCTTTCTCCTTTTTCTCTGCCGTCACCATTATCGATGTTTCTTTTTTGCTTTATCACTGTGACAAATATATCTAAGAATTTCCTATAAATGTGGTTACTGTATATTTTACAAAACCATGTTCTTTCTTCTCCTAACTTTGAATTGTATAATGCCTCCGCAACTGCAAATCACTCCACGTTTCTCAAGCGAGCGTGGCCTTGCTGATCATGGTTGGCTACGGTCATATCATAGCTGGTCATTTGCTTCTTACCATGATCCTCGTTATTCAAATGGTTTCGGTTGTTTACGTGTTCTCAATGAGGATCGTGTTGAGCCAACAAAAGGCTTTGGCACACATTCTCATGAAGAATATGAAATTTTTTCATATGTCGTGGATGGCGAGCTACAGCACAAGGATTCAATGGGAAATACAGAGATTATTCATCGTGGCGAAGTTCAATTTACATCGGCCGGAACAGGAATTCAGCATTCAGAATACAATGTAAACAAATCATTATGGGTTCATTTCATTCAAATATGGGTCAAGCCAAATAAATCAAAATTAAAACCATCGTATACGACAAAAAAATGGTCAGATGAAGACAAATTGAACAAACTTTGTCTGTTAATCGACGATATTAAAAATTCAAACAAGGCTTCTATTGCAATTCATGCACCAATATCAATGCTTGCGTGTATTTTACAACCAAACAAATCTGTAAATCATATCTTCACGAGAACAAAAGGATACATTCACCTGATTATGCGCAGCGGATATGTCACACCTTATGGTGAAAATGGAAAGAGTGGCGCAAAAATTCGAATTGGACAAGATATTATTCTTGAAGAAGGTGACGGAGCATTTATTAACTGTGAACAGGGTATCGAACTACTTATTGAGAGCACTGGAGATATAAATGCCGAGTTTTTATTATTTGATCTTGAATAAACATTTCGTTCATAGAGCGAACATTCAAACTTTTTATTGTTATATGAGTTGCAAAATGTAAATTAATTTTCATCTCACTTTTCGTATTTTTAAGACTTTTACAAAGTTTTGAATTTTCTTGTTTTTTTTCTAATGTCATTTTTTTATGGCAAAATTTCTCAAAATAAATCATCCGTACACAATAAAAATTTTCGAATAAATAAATGGATTCAAAGTTCAAATTGTGGCACAGCGCAGACAGTTTTAAATTAGTGTCACTCTATGGCGACAAAAAACCGTTTGACAAATGAAATCTTTTTCTATGTTGAAAATAAAAAATCGAAGTCAGCATTCGACATTTTTTTTTTTATTTTGTGAATATTTTCTGTCAATTGTTCGACAGTAATTATAAATTAAGGAGTATACATGCTAAATTACTATGAATATCTCAAACCGTTCTGATTCGAATTCGACCTCTATTAATATACTAGATCTGTCCAAAAACAAAATCTGACCTTCGAATCATTTTCAGCGTTGGAAATCCCGTAGATTAGACTGCATTAAGCTTTTTAACAGGACAATGTAGAAGCTTTTCTTTGTCGTGCATTTGTTTTCGATGCCGGATCATTCGGTATGTATGATATATCCAACCTCATGCTCCGCATCACGCAATTATTTTGTACAAAATAAATGTACAGCAGTGTTTGCTCAACATTTTTCTACAAACAAGTGAATCAGAATTCATACATTCAAGATAAAGGTTTTGCGACGTAACCTTTCGTTGAATTAGATAATGGCGAATTTCTAGTAAAAAATTATCTTATGAGGGCACTTTCCGAAGTTACAATGGGTTCTACTTGGAATGATGTATCTGTGTCGATTTCGTGATCGTAGTGTGATTTTTGTTTCATCGTTATAATTAAACTTGTTTTGTATAGCATGTACAACAGAACAGTTCTAGAAATCCTCAGCTTGACAAAAAAATTAAGACCTAATTGAAAAATCGATGCCAGTCAGCCAATGTAGTTAGGTGTATACTTTGAAATAAAACAAACTCGAACTCTCTAGCTTGAAGTATATTAAAAAGTCTTAGATAATACGTCAGATGTAACTCCCATATAGAGAAAACGTTGTATAAAATGCTCAGTTTTACGACTTGTAGGAAATGCTAGTAACTTTTTAATGCAAGATCCCACAGAGTTGTGCGAAGTCTTATTTTGATCAGAAAAATTTCCTCTACAGAGCTAAGGGTTCAAAACGAAGTTTGATTGCATAAATATCTAGGAGAAAACTATTATTTGAAGACCCGGTTTTTTCGAGGCGCCTAGAAACTTGCTCGAAAACCACGAAAAGTCGCTTCTAGAATCACAGATGATATTTATGAATCAGTTTTAGTAGCAAAACTTTGTTGTGTCAAGTTTTTATTAAAAAAATAAGCGAATGCGCCAGGTGTTTATGGCCGAAAAATTATCCATACAGCATCAAAAACGATAGAGTAAAGGCTGGACTTTGGTATTAAAGCGGGAATTTTGAAAGAAAAGTCTCCCTTAGCTCCTTCTTACTTTCATGAACGCTGAAAAGTTTAAAAAAGTCATTTCATCATTTCAATTTGAAATATTTTGGTAAATGGTGACTAGACGGAAAGAGTATTCTCATAATATCAGATACTAAGGCGATGGAACTTCTTTTTCCAAACACTTTTGACATGATCTGAGCTGTGAAAATGAAGGCACATCGAAATATATACTTTGGATGATATTTGAGCCCATTCGAGCTTATTAAAAATTGAAATAAGACGAAACACCGGTCCCTGCTTCCTCAATGTTTGTTAATCAAATTCGAAAGCTATTTTGATGAAAAATGCAAACTAACCTTGTCAGTAGGGGTGCTACTTACTTTTACTAATTATTACATTATCCGGTAAAAGTAATAAGCGCTCATTTCTGTAGAGTGAAGGGCTAGAACAAAATCATAGTTAACATATCATTTAGCTATGATTTACATATCATATACATATCATTGTATCACGCTACTACAACGACAGTTTCTGTTTCAAAAATAATTTCACTAGTTTGTCGTCAGTTTGTTCATTTAGCGCCTGTTATAAGTTAATGATATGTTAGCTATGATTTTGTTCTAGCCCTTTTAACTGGCCAGAAATGAGTTGTGCTTTTGTCTATTCGATATTTTTTAGTACATTTTGATGTGCTCTATCCGCTGATAAGATTAGTTTGAATTTTTCGTCAAAATAGCTTTCGAATTTTTAGGTTTTAACAAACATTGAGGAGGGACCAGTGTTTCGTCTTATTTCAATTTTTAATAAGCCTGAATACCATCCAAAGTATATATTTCGATGTGCTCTCATTTTTACAGCTCAGGTCATGTCAAAAGTGTTTGAAAAAGAAGTTCCATCGCCTTAGTATCGGATATTACAAGAATACTCTTTCCATCTGGTCACCATTTACAAAATATTTCAAATTGTAATGATGAAATGACTTTTTTAAACTTTTCAGCGTTCATGAACGTGAGGAAGGGCTAAGAGAGACTTTTCCATATCAACCAGTGGGAAAATTACAACCATAAAATCATTTTTTACGTACCTTTTTGCCCTGAGAGAAACCGGGAGACAGGAAATACGGAAGCTTTTAAACTTATAACCTAATTCATTTTGGACTCTATACAGTCGACTATGTTAATGACAAATCGAACGGATAGGTAAAGATGCAGAACTCTTCATACCTACTACACTCTAAAAACGAAATATCTTACAAAATTTCAACAGGTTTTCTTTTTGTGTCAAAATCGTAAGTGGTTTATTAAACACATTAAAAACCCAAAAGCGTTTTGTAGCAACTTTGAAACACTTTGGTTTTTATTTCATTTCTCCTAAAATATCTAATTAGTTTTGAAGTCACTCTGCTTGAATTTTTAAAATACGCAGGCATCGTTTCAAAAATATTTCTTTCGCCAATGGAATTGACAATAACCAATTTCAATTTGAATGTAACAAAATTCACGTAAGATTTAGATCGTTTCTTGATTTAGATACATACGATGTGTTGCCATAATTACTGCTGCAAAAAGACAATTGTAGAGTTAAATTCATGCTTTTATTGATTTTGAGACAAATGTTAAGTCCTTTATACATGTGAAAAGAATTTAAAACATTTCGGAGACAAGGTTTTTCGAGAATAGTTAATCATTATAAGGACAGTAATCATCAACCTAATTGAACACTGAGATACTCACTATTGAATCTCATAAAACAACGAGAATAATAAAAGAGAATTTATTAGTGGATGTATACACTATCAGAAAACAACGTCTTGATAAACCACTGTAATGGCTTCAAAATGTATCCACCGTGCGTAAGGATGGCACGTTAGGTGCGTTTTCTCATCTTTTAAACTAATAGTCGCCTATATGTCTTGAAAAAATACCTCAAAATCACTACCTTTTTAAATAAAAAATAGCTTATGTGCTTTCGATAGACATCACTGACGCATCAGAAAGTCACAAAGCGCTTGCTACGATCAAGACACCTAGTCGTCCATCAAGGGGGAATGAATCACGTAGTTGTATTCAAGGCACCAGAAATAGGCTCACGATAATCAAGTAATATTCCAACTTCATCGATTATATCGATAAAAACGACAGTTTGTCCAATTCGCTGCCCCATACATTTACCAATTTTTTTACTAAATTGGTAATTAGTTTACCTTGAGAAAACATGATCATGATCTCGTCAAAACTCGCTTTTACCAAAAAAATTTGGAGTTTTCATCTGGATTTATATGCTAAAAGCAGGACTTTCACAATAAATGTCTGAATTCTACTTACAGCAGCTTGAGTATTCATTTCAATGGAGAAATATTTATATATTTTAAAAACTTGATTGTAGAGCTTTCGACATTGACTGAATCAGAATAGGAAATGTTGTTCGACAATTCTTGATTTACTAATTACAAGAAGGAATACTGGCTTTACCACAACTGTTTATAGACGATTTATTTTACTATAACTTCTGGAAGTAATGACTCAAGTACGAATGGCAAACAAGAGGAGGATTATCAAAGGAATGATAATAAAACCCTAAATGGTGCACTTTAAGCTATAGAAAAATATTAAGCACAAATCGCTTGCAGTCCTTAAAAAGACATAAACGATCTTATGTAGAATAAATTCTTTAAGGAGAAATAACTGCAAACAAAGTCTACTCTTCTGCTGAGTAAAGCAACTTACCAGCGACTTGAAGATGGATCCACCCTTAAGGTCGATCCATCACTGGTTTGTTGTTTAGAGTCCGGGAATTTCGACGGTTTTTTCGTTGACTGACCAATCCTGAAACAATTAGTGTTCATGGGCATAATTTATATGTATCTTGGGTAAACGGTCTGCCTCTCAACTGAATTCTCGAGATATATTCTTTTGAAATGTTCCCTATTTTTATCAGATTTTAACATCTCTGTGATCGTTTCGTATGCTGTCCACATTGGATTCTCAGAGAGTTCCTCATAACGCTTTACCCCCATACATACAAACACATACATACTCACATCTATATACTTATATTATATACACACACACACACAAAATAATTTATTTCGCATGACCATAGATTTACAGTCAATGGAGTAAATCTTCTACACAACCGATAAGAGGTAAACAAAACCTCGTTTTCCGATATAATGGTTTTTCGACACATCAAGAATGACCCTCATGTGCACGTATACATATCTATGGGATTATGTTCAGTTATGGGATCTTCTCAGGATGACTTTTGGACAACAACTGTTGTTTGAACACTTTCGCTCGCTGATTTCGGATTAAGAGAAAAAGCTTTATTAACAAAACACTCGCTGAACTTTGTTCCTGTTTAACACGCCAAAATTCTGTTTCATGTCCTAGATATCTCAAATCTATATTTGAGATTAGAGTTATATAACTCTTCTTCAGTAACTGCTGAATTCAAAAAAGTAATTTTGAGCGTCCAAAACACTTCTAAAGCTCAATAATTGTAAAAATGCAGAATGCATCGTGTATACTAAAATTTAGATAAAAATAGCAGAAATAATCCTGGTTTTTGAAAGAAAAATATTTTTGATACTATCGATTGTGGAATAAACATTTTTATATTTATTGAGTAGAATTGATCCCGGTTGACGTGTAATGTGGGTGTAAGAAGCATGGCCGTCAGATAAAAACAATAGCAGTGTCACATCTTTTTTCACTCATATCACTTTCGATTATTACTATCGCTATTGAACAAATCATGCCTCGCAAGACATGGCTATTAGTTTCTACATACACAGATTAAAAAAAGATTGAAGTACGTGTAGGAGCGTTTATTTGTAGCAAAATATACTAAAGTGGCGGACAAAATTTTAAGGCACCTTTTGTTTTTCATTTTTCTGCGTGAAAGATCACTCATTATCGACATCCGAATAGTGATTCGGATAGCTCTCAGAGCGTGCTACAAACCTGAAGTGATAAGAAAACTTAAGCTCAGCTCTTTTCGTTTTTGTGACAGAAATCGTTTTTGCCCAGCGGACAAAATTTTAAGGCACTTTCCGATATCTTTGCTTTATTTTTGTGAAATCCTACAGAAATACAGTTTCTTTCACAAGAACTGACCACCTTTCGCTTTTAAACACTTTCGTATTCGTTCTGGCATTGATTCGACCAACTTGATGCATAAACCGATATCAATGTTGTCCCATTCCTCCTGACGACGATTGATCAAGGCTCCTTTGGAATAAATCGGTTTTGAAGCCAATTTTTTGTCCAAAATGGACCACAGCATCTCTATCGGGCTGGACTTTTAGGGGCCCAGTCGAGTACTTTCAATTTCAATTTGGCAATTTTATCTTTCACTATATTTGATGTATGCCATGGAGCCAGGTCTTGTTGGAAGATTATTTCAGTTTTCTTCAGTATTTTTGTCATGGATTGCTTTAGTTCTTTCTGCAAAACATCGCAATATAATTGACCATTCATATTTTGCGTGTAAATCTTCGCAGCGGTTGTACCGAAACGCGAGATGCCGCCCCATATGCCAATTACCGGTATTGGTTTGTTCTAAACATTCCGGAAGAAGTTTCTCTTTTTCCAGACGCCATATTCTGCATTGATTTTTTCTTTTTAATACATAGAACGTCGATTCGTCTGAAAAAATCACCTTCCGTCAGTCATCATGTGTCCAGCTCAAATGTTGTGTGCACCAGGCAACACGCTGTTGCCGATGTCGGGCACTTAACCACTGTTTCTTGATTTTCACTACGTACTCAAAGCCAAGATCTTTCAAATATCGGCGTACTGTTCGTATTGTAACCGGTTTTGGTAAGCTGCTGGTCAAGTCCGACGCTATTTTCGCAGCGCTAAGGCGGGAATCTCCTTTGACCAATTTTTTCAAATGCCGAACTTCACGATCAGAAAGTTTTTTTGGACGTCCGGTGTGTTTCAGATCATCATATCGAAATAGCTCTTCATACTGTTTGATCGTATTTTGAACACGACATCTTGAGATCTTTAGTTGTTTTGAAATTTGAACCTGGTTGAGACCGGCACCATGTAAGGCCACCGCCTGAGCTCGGATAACTGGATCAATAGGCTTTTTTTCCATAAGAGGTTTTGATAATAATAACATAAGCAAAATATATCTAAAGAATTGCAACAATATTATCTTTCATATTTTTTTCGAAAATAAAGCAAAGATATCGAAAAGTGCCTTAAAATTTTGTCCGCTGGGCAAAAACGATTTCTGTTACAAAAACGAAAACAGCTAAGCTTAAGTTTTCTTATCACTTCAGGTTTGTAGCACGCTCTGAGAGCTATCCAAATCACTATTTGGATGACGATAATGAGTGATCTTTCACGCAGAAAAATGAAAAACAAAAGGTGCCTTAAAATTTTGTCCGCCACTTTAGTATTAAAAATGTATATGGAAGTTAGTGAAGAGGTTTGAGGGAAGCGAATCTTGTATGATCACGACACATTGCTATTGTTTTTATCTAAAGGGTATGCTCCTTCACACTCTCACCACACGTCAAGCGGGATCAGTTCTGCTATTTTTATCGAAATTTTAGAATACGAAATCCATTCTGCAAGTTTTTCTGGATCAAAACTATTAGCAGCCTTTTTGAAAATTAAAAGTAGCTCTTTTCAAAACTTTCTCCCAGAAAATAATTTTCTTCAAACACTAAAAGGCACATTTCCCTAATCACCTCAATGTGCTCTATCCAACCATATATAAAACCCGAAAGAATAAAATCTAGTTCGAACTTTGAAGTACTGACACCTTACTTCTTTACACGTTCAACGAGTGTCTCATTCTGAAATGCTTTCTCTATCGTGTCAATGTTCCAGAAATACTTCCAGACGAGAACAAACTGTGTCGAACGTTTTTTCAGCTGGGACTAGGTGGTGAAGAGAACGGTCACAAAATGTGCTTTAAACTTACCAGTACCACGTGATTCAATGGCCGTCGACTGAAATTGTCAGATCGCCAAGCGATTATTAAATACAACTGATTGACAAATGGTTCCCGCGACCTTCAAAACAAACGTAGCTCAAATCTTAGATTAAATGACTTTGTTCTGTGGGATAATGAATTGATGTCTAAGAGACATCAAAAATAGTACTAAGTACCATCTATGTTAGACTCTCTTTCTGACTTCCTACAATCAGTATCCCATCTGGACTAATTGGATCTCTTCTAAAGGAGATTCATGGCTATAAATTCTCGCTATATAGCTATAAATTATCAGGAACTTACGATGATCCAAAATAAATTTGGTCCCAACGATATTTGTCCTCGTTGATTCTAAAAACGAAACAAACGAATGTGAGAAAAAAGCGTCAAGTTCAGGTGACTGATGTACCTAACAGGATACTGCGTTTCCGAATTTTTGTCTAATGCATGAATGAAGTATGATGGAGTATATAATTATTTTGTTGTGACTTTTTCAAAAAATTTTTAATGAACGAGTTTGTGTTCGTTTGTCACTAGTCCAACAAAGTTTGTTTTGTATACTTGCAATTTTTTCAATATAAAATACTAATTGTTCCTTTTCAACATTTGCACTGGCATATGTGTAAGGAAAATGTTACCTCTGTTTTTATTTTTTTTATACGCATTATTTGTTGTTATCTCATTTGGTTCATATTCATAATTTCGTGTCCTGTCTTCCTCCCTCCCCTATTAGAGGAATAGAAGATGAGAAGAAAAAACTAGTTTAACCTTTTCGTTATCATTTGCTCACATTTATATGTTTCAACTATTAAAAAAAAATGAATGTCATTATACATTCGCATTAAATCTATTACGTTATTTTTACTAAAGAGAAAAAAAGAATACTAAACGTCGAAGAGAGCACTCTTTCTTTTCAAAATTCTTGCAACACTTTTATCTTTGTGATTATAATGGATGGTATTGAACTAAGTCAACAGCCAGAACAAGTTAAATTATTAATCGAATCACCTCTCACCATAGGGGAAACAACAACTACTAAAAAGTCAACATTGTTTCCTTATGGTTATTTAACACCCTTTTTTCTTGTAACATTTTTAGTTTTTCTTTGGGGTATTCCAAGTCAATTGAATGGTATTTTAATTCGACAGTTTTCGAAATCATTTATTTTGACACAGTTTGAAGCGGGACTTGTGCAATCAGCATTCTACATGGGCTATTTTTTATTAGCGATTCCAGCCGGGTTTTTAATGCAAAAATTTGGATATAAGTTTGGCTTTTTGTCTGGTTTAGGACTATTTAGCTTAGGTTGTTTTCTATTTTGGCCAGCAGCTTTAATTAATCGTTATTCTATATTTTTATTATCGCTATTTATCATAGCTAGTGGTCTATCGTTTTTGGAAACAGCAGCAAATCCGTTTATTGCGCAACTAGGTGATCCCGAAACGTCGGAACAAAGACTAAATTTTTCACAAGCATTTAATCCATTAGGTGCAATGACGGGCGTATTGATCGGTACTTTGTTCATATTTTCAGGTGAGTGAAAGAGAAATGTTTATTCAACAAGAGGATGAGGAAACGTTATGCCATGCGATACCTGTAGTTGCATCGTAATACGTTTGTTTCAGAGATCAAATACGTCTTTGATTGCTTGGTTTGTTGTGAAAAGTGTAGCTTGATCTTAGAACAGTTCCGTATAGCCATGATTTGAAATACTACGGCAGATTTTTGGAGGGTTTTCAAAATCCATTTTTTACAGGAAAAAAGCAACTACACGAACAATAAGTTACCAATTGAAACTTTTTTGAAAATTTTGAAGATTTTTCCTATGTAAGTTTTGGATCTTCTACAAAGTGTTCAGCATTACGATTCGACAGTTTTTTTGTTTATTTCATAACTCTTTCATACGAGTGATTCTATCTGTATAGGAATTTTCCAGTTTCATGATTGCTTAATATTGAATTGATCCGTAAGAAGTTTTGCCAGAGAGCTGAACGTGAGCACCAGTGACTTTGTACTATAGTTGGCAACCCTACATAAGCTGACAAGTCAGCCAAAGAAAATTACTTGTCATATTCATAGATCCTACATATACAGTAGCGTATGTTTGTTCAGGAAGTAGCATATAACCTTAAAATTTGACTTACAGGCTTGTTTATGAACTGTTTTATTTCGATCAGACCTTCTCGGCGACTAGTATTAATCAATCACGGCTGATGAGGTTCATTCGCAGGATCACGCCAAATTATTAGTGATATCACAAAGGCCCTATTTTATGCATCATCGGCACAAGCATCGTTGATCAGTCAGACAAGTATCTGAAATACATACGATTTAGAAGACAGTAAACATTCAATTGTCTTACTTCTTAATTTTCGAGTGTTTGAACAGCATTTTTATTTCTTTTTTTCTCATACAGTATTGCTCTAGTGCTTTGCTGTCATCGAAAAAATCGCTTATATTATTGTTGGTTTAAACATCGAGATAAAAAGAACAAACTTATGTTTTAGGTATTGAATTAGATGAGCATGAGATACATCAAAGAAAATTAAATGGCACGTATGAGCGGTATTTGAAGCAGGAGACATTGCGCGTTATTCATCCATATTTAGTTTTAAGTGGTATTAGCCTTCTATGGGCGATATTTACTTTTTTTATTAAATTTCCTACAACAGCAACAAAACAAGGGGTTGTTACAACAATTGCCGACGATCAGAATAATACTGACAATAAAAAATTATGTCGTCCCTATTTTTTTCTTGCCGTATTAGCACAGTTTATGTATGTTGGTGCACAAGTATGCACGTGGAGTTATTTTATACAATATGCACAAGAATATACTCAAATGAAAGAAAAGTCAGCTGGATATTGGCTCACCGGGACATTAGTTATGTTTGGTTTGGGACGATTTAGTTCAGCTTATTTAATGCAACATTGGATTAAAGCTCAATTACTCATGGGTATCTATGGTATAATTAATATTGTATTGGTTCTCGTGGCGATATTAATTCGCGGGTGGGTGGGTTTCAGTTGTTTATTTTGTACTAGTTTTTTTATGTCTCTCATGTTTCCAACAATATTCGCATTAGGATTAAAAGATTTAACAGAAAAAAAAGCAAAATTAGCTGGATCCTTATTGGTAATGGCTATTGTGGGTGGTGCTGTATTAACACCGCTGATGGGATTAATATCAGAGTTAATGAAAACAATAGCCATTGCTTATTTTGTGCCATTGTTTGCTTATGGATTTGTTGTCTTATTTGCATTTATAGATTTTTTAAAAATAAATTAACATAAATTGGCTAGTTGGTACATTCAGTGAAGAATTTATCAGCAAAAGATTCGCCGCTTACTTAGCGTTCCGCTAATATTGACCGGCTTATCCATAGATTTAAACAGAGCGGTAAGTATTGAAAGTAAAGTAAGCTTCATTTTTTACCCGTTTCATTAGACAAAAAATCATAAAAATGAACCAGCTTTGGCACTAAAACTCTCACACATCTTTCATGGATCCTCGAACGGAAAGTTTTTTAGACTGAGAATTTGATTTCTTTTTTTATTGTGAAAGCTAATATTGATGGTGTTCATTTAACTAGAGCCAAGACAAATATACTGTCACTATTCTATGGCTGATACAACTTTATTCCTGTTTTGTCTTTCTCTAGTTAGAACAACAGTTAGCACGAGCATGGTTGTTCGTTTCTGAAGATCGAATCATCAAATGCTCTTAGAAACTTTAGAGTATGTGGCCTCAACTTATGAGCTAGAGAACGGCCATCTCAAGGACTGCGCACTTAATAAGGATCACTTCAAGTTTTCAGAGTTTAAACTCTTCTGCAACACAGTTTTTTGCGGTTAGTTGTTTCAACTAAATCATCACAATTTTCATGGGACTAAATAGTTTTGGATGATAATGGTCAAGTCTGGTGGCGGTGTATTATAGTCAAGTAGAGCACTTATATGGGTAAATAAGTCAGCAGCCCACGAGCGGTACCAGCGGCCGCTCGTATCTTTTAACCAAAAGACTGTTTTTTCCTTTCTTTGAATAATTTGTTTCTAAGACGACCGCGCGCATCTGGCACTTTTATCCTATACCGCACGTACCAAAGAATAATTCTGGATCCGCTACTAACACACATTTTTTAAATTTAAGGACGTCTATTTTTGGTCCTTGTTGTGATGCCCTCTCATGAACAATTGCAAGTGCCGCCAAAAAGAATTTCGTTACCACACTTTGACATGGGCAACATTCCCTGAAAGTTTGGTTCAGATCAGACCTACCTGGGCTGATATAGGTTTCTGACCCGGGGAGGAAGGCTTAATTCGTTTGTCAGCAGGGCTTTCTAATGGCATAACTGTTACGAGCTGCTGCATCACGCTTACGATACTGTTCTCGTTGGAAATCGGATGTCTACAAAAGGATTATTCTGCTGGGAAATGGGATTTCCACAGGTCTAGACGACCACCATGCCGTTATTTTAAAATTTTTTAAACGTCATATTCGTCATTAGGAGCCCGAGTTCTACTAGCCCTGTTACTCTCGAATAATCGTAATGTAAACACGGTATCTCAGTGTTACTATGCTCTTATCATTTATTCCTCTTCTTCGTTTCACTTTGTTTTCTTTGCTCGTTGTTTATTATGATTCAATGCTCACATTCATCTCGCCGCCGCTGAGCATTGGAACACACGATCATACGTTCCAGTGCACTCTCTCTTTATCATCAGCACGACCTTAATCATCGCTTCGCGTTGCTGGTCAATCATCTTTGCTCTGCATCATTCGCTCTTAGAATTTGTCGTCATGCCTCGCGCAAGGCATCTATAAACGCTCAACTTGACAAGCGCATTTCTCGAACGAATTTGTTCTGTCGCATTTGCGCCTGAATGAGCCTTATCATACTCATCTTGTAAATTCGTTCTACACGCTCTCGAACGCATAAATATGTCAGAAATACGCGTTCCAACGTGTTCTACATTCAACTTACGTAACGCGTTCGAATGACTTTTCATTTTAATGAGTTGAAAGACATTTAACTGAAATTTAAAAAAACTCACGCATCCTAACGCATTAGTTTTACTATAGTATCCCAAACACGTTCGAACGGGTAAACATTTTGTTTTCAGCGCTTTACTTTTGTACATCTTCCTTCAAGCGCGTTGGAACTGTCGTACGGTTGATAAACTTACCTCAAGGGTAAATTAAGCAACTGAAAATTAATAGAAATCTGAGAAATACGTTTTGCTTGCCTCGTTTAAAGATGCGCTAGAGTAGGCTGAATTTAATTTTAATATATAACGCACAAGAAACAACCAAATTCCTTTTATTTTGTTGATAAGAGACTCTAGCTTTAAGATGACGTAACCATTGGTGTTCACTGGTAACAATAGGAATATTGCTATAAGACATTAGACGTAAAACTGCATAGAATGTGTCAGCACCAGAAAAAAGTTAAGATTAAATTATAAAATTTATGCTGTCGCAATCCTGATTCAATTTTAAGTATAGAGCTAAATTTTCTCTGTTCACCGCGGCAAAAGTGATCAGTTTTCTGATAAGTCCTATCACTTTGTTGCAGAATGTAAGTTTTCCTCCACAACAGAAATTTATTCGAAAATAAACCAAATTCTTGATTACGGTAATATGGACATTGATTCTTCCATCAGAAAATTACAAATATTGATAGTTTGTCCTATCCAGAAGATGCTGTCTGATGAGAACAGGAAATTATACTTCTTAGAATTAAAATTAAACGTTCGAGAATTTATTTTCCTACATGCGTTATGGCATACCCTCTTGTAAGGAATAATAAACATTACGGTCTGTCCACAGGTTCTCTACTTATTTAAAGATCGTTGTGAAAACAGTCGTTTGCCCTACTTTAAGTGTTGATGTGTCTTGTTCGCTCTTTGCTCGACTGCGACCACAACAAATGGTGGTAAAATCTTCGATGACACATCGTGTGTGCGTGTGTTTATATTACGAAGATGTTAATTTGCTCTCAAATGCGTTATCAAAACATATTAATGGATTAGCTTGTTCCACTTTGCAAGCATTCACAGCAGCGCTGGTCTGTGATGCATCAAATGAGTAGTGTATGTCATCTAACTGTAATAAATGTAGCATAAATGCAGCTTCTATCAGCAGAAGTTAAATAATATTTGTATCATGTATTTATTAAACGACAACGAAGTAATTTGTTTGGACAACTAAAGGAAGGTACAATATTTATCAGAATTGGAACAAATCATATTTTTCAGTGACGGTGCCGCTTCACAGCTTAAGCAATGTTTTCTATTTCGCAGTTCGACAAGAATGTCGAACGAACATGATTTTACTGGGCAGTGAAATTTTAAGAATGATTAACAAGAAAAGATGTTCTTCGAAAAAATTTTCTGCATCTTTATTCAATGAAAAACTATGCTCTTTTGAAAGAATAAATGAAACTTTACCTCTACATTTGTCCTTAGGTCTTTATAGATTATCTAATAGGTCCTTATATATCGACGCAATAAAGTTCTCATACACAAAACTTCAGAACTTAGAGAAATAACAAGTTTCTGCTGACAGCGTTACCACAATGTTTTAATAATAACTCCTTATAGAAACAAGATTTTTCAAAGAAATTTTTTGGCATCGTAAAGCCAGGTGTCTTGGCTACAAACGCACGAAAAAGAGTTTTCCTCAGTACGAGAAAATTCGCGAGAATTTAAACTTTTTGTATTGCCCTAATGGAATAGAGCCTTTTGAATGAGTGCGTTACCGCTGTTTTCGGTACCCCTAAACTCCAGTCCAAATTAGTAATAGGCCTAAAAGTAAGGCCAAATGAAGTTTCACTGTTTTCAGCTGTTATAACAGCTGTAGGTCTTACAATTACCTAACTATACTGTAAGTTTCAATACTTTGTCACCTAAGACTGCTGACTTACGGCAATCCAAAGTTTGGATACCAAACGTCAAAAATTGGCGAGTGAGTTATCTGTGAACAGACCGTGATGCTTATCATTCCTTACAAGAGGATATGACATAACGCATGTTGGAAAATAAATTGTGAAACGTTTAATTTCAATTCTGAGAAGTATAATTTCCTGTTTTCATCAAATAGCATCACTGTGGAGGCTTAAGAAACGCACGAAGTGGTGTGAACATCACCTGAATAAGTGCTATGTTACAGCAGACCGACCCTCATAGTCATTTTCGGATTTCACATAGTCGATTAGACAAGAAGAGAACAGCGAAGGATGCCGACTATTATTGGAATGCTAATTTGTCTGTGGATGGTTTATTACTTTAGAGGTGTTGCAGCGGAAAGTGGGATATTAAGTGCAAATTTTTAATGTTCAAGATGATGAAGGAATCGGAATCATTTATGAAGAAATTAAGAGAAAATATGTTAGGGATAGATCTATTAATTAGGTTTAATTAGTTAAATAATTTCGTTATGTTAGTAAACATCAACTGTAACATCACACTAACCAATCTGAAGTCCCTAAAAATAATAAGTTATGTACTAGCAACATACAATACAATGTTCATGCATATTCTATTGAACGGGATTCTCGGAGAATTATGATTACCGAGAGAACCGTCTTCCCCGTAACCAGAATTGCCTGTCTACCTGTAGCACTGTCAATGATCACAGACAATGTGCCCCCAACTCAAATAACAATGCTAGGAGTATTGCAATCCTCCCAAATTTTCCTTTCCCTTTGTATATTTGTGGTGTATATCGGCATAAAAGGGAGCCGCACACAAAATTTCATTTGGACGATAAGAGAAGAGTGGAAATGATAATGCAGCAAATTCGATCTGTATTGATGAAAGGCTTCGTCGCGTATACCTATTTTGTTGTTTGGGTAACAAATGAGAGCACAGTGTGCAACAACGTGGATATTACGGAAAAAAATGAAAGTGAGTTTTTCCAGGATTCAATTAGCGACCAATATGCACTACAAAATGCGCGATTTAATGGTGAAAAAATTTTGATCCAAGTACTTAATTTCGTCGAGAAAAGTAAGTCGTGATTTTTAGTAGTTTTTCGGCATTTCGTCGGAAAGAACGGTTTTTTACGGCGGTAGAACGCAAACATAAAAACATAAAACTGATATATTGTGAAAGAGAATGAGTTAGGCTATCGATTCATAAAACTTTTTTTGGAATTAGCCGTTTTTGGCGGAAGAATTGTTTATTTTTTTCTTTGCTAGGAGCTTCCAAAAGCGATGCGTTTGGGAAAGTGAGCATCCCCTCCACATCCCCACTCCGTTTTCGATGAAACTTTCAGCAATTGTTCCT